GGATGACATTGTTGTAAACGCATATTGAAATTGCATTTCCATCTTCATACACTCGACTATAAAAACAGCAAACAATACAGGAGGACATGCGAGACAAGCCATTGAGTATGGACCAGAAAGAGGGCCATTTGGCCAACCACTGCAGTATTTTCTCATGTTAATTGATGCTTATGTCTGTGCGTGACAGACATAGTGTGAGCCTTCTGTGTGCACTCGAACGCTGATGACATACATATGCATGCTTTTTCACGTGTACACCTCATGAACAGTGTGTGTGTATGTGTGTGTGTGGGCTACTTTGGGGGGCTAACAGGTTTCAGTTGCCTGGTAACACAGTTGAGGGTGCATACAGTGCTTATGAAAGTAAGTGTGTGTGTGTGTGTGCTCTGCCGTGGAGTATATGAGATTATCATAATCATCTCACAGTTACATTGGGTCTCCCTCAGAGCCGCTCATTAGCATAGCAGTGTGAGGAGCCTCTATGACTGTGCAGCCCTCGCAGTAAACCCTCTCTTTTTAGATAGTTTTCCCTTGAATGTTCCGTGAAATAAAAATGCATTCCTAGGTGTATTATTCCACTATACTATAGTTTTATCAAACAAAAGTAATGAAAAGCACGTAGTTCTGTAGAATTCCATCCAAACCCCATCCCCTTCTCTTCCTGTTAAGTGTAAACATTAAATTTGCTGAATCATCTTGCACTCAATGGCTTACTGTATATATAAAAAAGAATTTACCCTACAAACTGTGACAGCTTTTAGGGCGATCTAGCCTACTCCATCATCCTGTGAAACCTGCAGCTCTACCGTACCTCCGTCTGTATACTAACTAGCAACATGGGACAGAGGTGTGCATTTGAGTGTCAGTTTGCAACATCGCCCACATCATTGCAGCTGTCTCTGCTGCCAAAGGCTCAAACATACAGACTGTGGCCCGACGCTGGGGTTAGAAACACGTCCGTCTCCTCCTCCTCCTCCTTCTCCTCCTCTGCAAGTGGAAGTCATGGAGGAGGTTACTGATCAGTGAGAACAGGCTGCATTTTACAGGTTTTATTTCCCCTATTTTAAAGCTTTCTACTCAAACCCCTCCCCAGCATCCTGTTTGTTTGTTTTTTACGCGTAGACACAAGGAAGATGTGCAGAAACATACCAAACCTGCCTGCTTCATCTTCCTTGAAATATTTCATGTGATCGCAATCACTTTTTTTGCAACAGTAATTTTCCTTCCTGTCTGTAGTTGTATATACAGGTGTTGTTAAGATAATAAAAAAAGAATAAATAAGAGCACTTCATTCCTGTCCTCCCTGGCTCTCGTATTTGTGACTCTTCTGCGTCACTTTTCCATCAAGCATGGTCATTTCAGTAACACAGCTGTCCTCTCAATACAGGGACTCCTTCCAGTTCCAGTTTTTTTGTATTTGGTTCTGTTCTTCCTCTTGTATTCAAACCAAGGCTCACTAGTACCTTATTTGTTACAGTTTTCGGTACCTGTCATCGCACCACATTTTGAGATTTTGGCCGCTGTAAAGGAAGATCGCAGTCGTTCTACTCCCCTCACTGGAAAGGTGTTTTCTATGGAGCCATAAACCTCCGACTATGACAGGATTTGGGACTCTTCACCTCTCGAACGTAACAGTTTTCAGTAAGAGTCATATGTTGGATAAGTCAGTTAAACTAACTGCTGTCATAAAAGCCTTAATCACGAGTTGTATTTGGCTCTACGGGGAGCCACGTCTGTTTTTGACGCTGGCAGACGTGGGACTTGTTGGTCGAGACCAGGAAAGGGATTCAGACTGTGAGAAAGCTGTTGTCCTTGCTAGCATGAATAATACATGTACCTACTCACTTGGCAGCTCCAGGCAGCAAGAAAGGATCTGAGCAGAGTGTTGAGATGTTCCCCGCTCAGTGACGTGAAGTGAAGTTTGTTATGTGTTGTAAATGTCAGTCTGATTTTTCATCTGTACTCCAGCTGATTCCACAGACCTGACTATGTAGCGACAAAAGGAAGTTGAACTGTGACAGAGAACCAGTTTGAAAGACATTAGCATCTGCTGTTTGGAGGGGAGTTCTATTTTATGAGCCTTACAGAACGATGTGTGCATTGCATATTTTTATGGCTGCAACTAATGATTATTTTCATTATTGGTTAATCTGATGATTAATTATTTCCTCGATTAACTGATCAAACGTCAAAAAAAATACTAGAAAATACCCATCACAGTTCTCCAGAGCCAATAGGGAGGTCTTCCAATGTATGACCCATAGTTTAAAACCCAAAGTTCAAAGACTGTAAAAACTATTTTCATTTGAGAAGCTGGTACCTAGTAAATTTAGTCATTTCATTGATTATCAGCTCTGTATATTTGGCATGTTTGGCTAGAGTGTGAATGAAACCCATTACCCGGCAGTGTCGGTGCTTCTACTGTCTGTTGAACTACACAGAGAATTAATTCCAAACAGGAATCTTAACCTTATTAGTCTTTTTCCTTTTCCAACCGTTTGAGCCCTACGGTACCTCGGAACAGTTAAAGGCTTTGATTCAAAAGAGGGCACTAAACCCAGTGTGGTGATTATCTTTAGCATTGATGCCCCTCACACAGGCCAAACTGCTATGTTGCCAAGTTGGTGTCATGGGCTGTGAACAGGAAACAGGAGGCTGCTGATAAGGAAGTGTTTTGTGTCAGAGGACAGCCGTGTGCACGGCTCTGATAACTCACACCTAGACAGAAACCCTGTGGCATATATCAGATTTTGTGCTCGTGTGCAGATTCATCATGTATCAGGAGTCGCCAGCAACATAAAAACAAAGCAGTAAACAAGCCACATCTACTTAATGTGTGCAAAAATCATAGAAATGAGCCACAGTATAACAATCATCTATTGTAATAAAGGGCTGTGTTTTGTATCGATGCACACGCCAAAAAAACCTGCATATTAATCAACAGGCTGCAAACCATAAGTGTACTACAGTCATACATAGGGAAAAAACAGATTTGTCCCTTTAACATCTTTGGAACTTGATTTTCTGACAAACTCTTCCTATATTTCATTATGCCAGGGCTGCAACTAACAATCATTATGGATTAATCTCTCTATTATTTTCAAAATGAATCAGTTTATCAAATGGTTTTTAAAAGAAAACTGAAAAATCACAATCACAATTTCTGTGACATGTCAATCTGTTCAATCTAAAAGACTAAGAAAAAATCAGCAAATTTTCACATTTGAGAAGCCGAAACTTCAGCCATTTTTGCTTCAAAAATTTAATTAAACAATTAATCAATTATAAAAATCATTCTGTCAACAGTTTCAGCTTTATATCATACTATATGACAAGTATACCATATTTTTGTCTGACTGTCTTTACTATGTCCTTAGTATTTGACGTGTAATTGTGACTTGATGTCATATTTTCCCGGACAGGTAAACTGACGTAATGTTTATTGTCCTCTTCTCCACCTTCATTGTTTGCCTGCAGCAGCGTAAATTAGGGTGCTAAGTTCAAAACCTGAAGTTCAAGTGTATACTGCATACAATATCGTGACTGCACTTGATGCCCTTCAGTGATTTAAAAGCACAGTTAAGCAAATAAAATTCACTGTGTTATCAAGTGAGTTCCTGTCAGCGTTACTATTAGTCATAGAACGAACAAAAAAAAAAACAATAAAACCCACAAACTGCCCAGTAGAAGAGCATTACATCATTATTGCTTTATGGTATGTGCCAAGGACAATAAATGTACGGGAACGTCGGTGTGGACACATGTTGACTAAACGTAGTGTACACTGATTATATGCTATGATATATATGTGACGGGGACAGAAACTTCAGCAGATTGTACAGATTATACTGCACTTCACCTACAGGTTCCTTTACCAAAACACACACGTGTGCTGCTGAAGTTGTGTCCACCTCAACATGTCTCACTCTCCCTCATTCCTCCCTTACTCCTCCACCACACTCACGCTCTGATTAGTCATCGAGCTGATGTAGCGCGGCTTTTTCCTGTCGTTTGCCTGAACCGGCTGTCCTTGTGGAGGTCAGTAAACTGGAATGAACTGAATTCTTAGTCTCATAAATCGGTCACACCACTCTGTTGTCCCTCCTTCCCTCTGTTAGCTATGCGTTAAGATTAATAGATAGCCCGTGTCATTTAGGATTAAAGCAGGCGAAGTAGTAGTTTGTGGTTGGCCAATGGGATCACGTGACTAAGTGTGAATGAGCTTATATAGTAATTAACAACTGGCTTTGTTATTGCTTCTGGATTACTCCTTGCCATTGTTCATTATACCGGTCAGGGAGTTAGGGCTGTTTCAGATGGCAGGGGAACGAAAGATCTGGACCCCTTCTGATAAAAAAGCACCAGTAGACCACAAAGGCTGTAAGTTTGCAAAAAAAGTTCTATGTATTTGTGTCTTTTGCTCCTTCCTCTGTTACCCCTTCTCCTCCACCCTCTCACCCAGCTCTCATTTCTCTACCTTTCCCCCTTTTTTTTTCCTATTTTAGGTTCACAGCAGTATTGTTAGAGCAGTACCATGGTTGGCTTCATGTGATGTGTGTAATCTAGCAATTGGAGCTTTTTCAATAGTTTCACCCATTTCAGTTCTCTATGGAGGAGAGCAGAACACAATGTGCTGTGGTTACTGTGGGTCTGCAGCTTGGAGCGGTTAGCTCAGTCCTGCGCAGGCCGGAAGTGGTGTCCTTGACCTAGATGAAAGTGGTGCCTACTAAAATTTATGACTATTGTTCAAGCTGTTGTTAGCAAGGATATTTATATTTTGCATAACATCCACTGGCGTAAAGTGTGTGATTATTTATCCATCTTGGAAGACTGTTGCTGCAGGTGAACTTTGTGGCTCCCAAATTTGCCTCTCACTTTTAACTCTTGTCTTTCTCCGCTTTGATGATCTAGGCGATGGACAGCAACATCAGCCGAGCTGTCTAAGTAAATGTAAATCTCTCATCTTCTCCCTCTCTCTCTTTCTTTTTGTCTTCCTCCAGTCGATGCTGATGAGATTAAGAGGCTAGGGAAGAGGTTTAAGAAACTCGACCTAGATAACTCCGGCTCTCTCAGTGTGGAGGAGTTCATGTCGCTGCCGGAGCTCCAACAGAACCCGCTAGTCCAGAGGGTTATCGACATATTCGACACGGACGGGAATGGAGAGGTGGACTTTAAAGGTATGGTATGGGGGACTACTGGTGCTTGAGTTCACAGCTTTACTCTATATGTAAGTTCAATTCCAACCTTTCTTTCATGTCATACCCCTCCTTCCCGTCCATCAAAAGATATTTAAAAAAAGATGCCACTACACTGCTGATATTGTATTGGTATAAACTGGCTGCTAAGATCATAGCTTTATCATATGTCAGAAGGACTTTCTCAAAATTGCTTAAAATTCAGTGTCAGTGCCACTTTCACAGTTTATATGTAGTTGAGACCAGTTCACACAGGAAGTTCACAGGGCTCTATCTGACTAAAGTAAGGCCTTAGTAATTGCTTTGCTTTGATCAGAAGTTATCTTTGTAGGTCTCTAGTTTTACCCACAATTCAAAATTCAGCCAGCCAACTCATGTGGAATGAGAATGGCAAGTGAACACCAAGGTTAGTATAGTAGTAACAGATACAGAGGCCACCAACAATACACAGTAAGCTAAATATTGACCAAGAGTGCAGCATATCTACCAAAGCTGAGGAGTTTAGAAGTTAATGAATTATACGAAACCCACTGCCATGAGTTGAAATATTTTTTTTAATTCTGAGCTGAACATGCAGTGAAATGTGATTGTGACTACCTATTATATATTTGGAGTCATGTTGAGTTTTCCCATCAAGCCATACCACACGGAAAGTTTCTTGTGAAATGTGTGCGAGACAACAATCATGTGTTTACACCCCTAGAGCCAACAATCAGGAATTACCTTCTACAAGAGACCTGGAGTCAATAGAAAACCCCCAAAGAACGGCATCAACTAGGAGGAAATGTGCCGCAAAACCAGTTATGTCAATACGCATATTCATATCTCACCACTATGTAAATCAGCAGCATGATGGCACATGTGCTAAACAACCACCAAAATAAAACTAGGAACAGCCAGTACAACCAATAGCACTGTAAATACTGCATCCTGTTAATGCTGTAATGATGTCTCTCTGCTGCTCTCAAATATAATATACAACAATATAAGACAGCTGTAGCATGGTCCAGTGGCATTTAGTGTGATTTGAAGCTGATTTTCTGTAATAAAGATGATTAATAGAAGTGTTTACGTCAGTGCACAAACACACAGCATTTGAGTAGTGAAGAAAATCCACTGTCTGAACTGAACACATGATCCTTAAATATATGTTACAAAAGAGACCAATTGTTTTAAAATATTATCTGGGAAGTTCAACTAGAAAATAATCAGATAATATGTAGGGACTTTGCACCCAGCAGTCTTTCAACCCTTCATTACAGTAATGTTTTCAAAACTCTATTGCCAGAAATCAGAAGTCAAGACAAAAAACTTTACTCAATAATTTTGTCGTATTGAATAAAAACTGGAAAAGTTTGGGAAGAAAATCGCAAAGAACATAATTTCAAATCCTGCCATGATGTGAACATCAGCAGTCATGAAGCAGAAGGCTGTAAAACCCACAGCTCTGATTGTTGTTCTCTCCTCTCCCCTCCCAGAGTTCATCGAGGGAGTCTCACAGTTCAGCGTCAAGGGGGACAAGGAACAGAAGCTTCGATGTAAGTAAAGCTGATTCTTCATTAATACCGCATGTGCCCAGAGGTAGCACAGCTGGTTCATGGTCCCCAAACATGTCCGCTTGTTTTGCTGCTCTGGGACTAAAATCAGCCGGGGTTTTATCTCCTGTGTCTCCTCTCTTCTGTTTGACTCACCTTACCCCACTGCTCTAAAAACACCCCTGGGGAAAAAAACGCTTAATGTTGAGCAGTGTACAAAATTAACTTTTGGCTCACCTGCTAAGGGCTAGTAAAGCAAAAAAAACTTCTCGACAGGTTAATTTATGTGGAAATGTCACCCTACAGGTTTTGAGCAGTGCTCTGTCTCTATACTCAGGCTTAAGGCTAATCGACCACTCTCAAAACAAAGAGACTGGGTGAAAGTTGAGATGCCACTGCTCTTCAGTGTCACTGGAACGTGTTTGATAAAGGCTTATTGTTGGTTTGCTCAAGAGTTTACTGTGGTTGACAGTAGGCATGGGACGATGTGGTGTGCAGTAAAAGACAAGGCATCCCTACTGCAAAACAATATAGCAACAACAAACAACTCAGACAGTAGACAAACATAAAACCAGCATGATAAAGGATAGAGATAAAAGTAGAAGTGCTCCAGGCTCTAGAAATCAGCACTTACAAAGAGAGGTCAATAAAAAAACAAAAACCCTGAGATAAATAACCTCTAGAATAAATGAGGGAAACATTCATATAAAAACAAGAAAAACACTGTGCCATGTTACTACAACGTATTGATCTGAATGATAGCTGCTGGAGCAAAGCTATTTGTATTCCGCTTTGTTCTACATCTTGGGACTGGAAACCTCTGTCCAGAAGAGAGAAGCAGAAATTCACTGTGCAGTGGGTGGGGGGAGTCATTTAAAATCGAGCTGGTTATCCGCTGTAACCGTCTGTTGAGTCACAGCTTAACCAAGAATGCCTGTACAGCAATCGGCCTACTAGACCATTTAACAATTTGATATCATATTACTCAGATATCCAGCCAAATGTGCCTAAAACTCTTAAAATGGCACTGAAACATGCTTATGCCTTATGGCAAATGAAAATAAATCAGGAAATCAATATTTGCCAGCTTTTTCAATTCACTCGTGAGGATATTCACAATTATCCCAATAATGCAAATTCACAACGATAAACGTATCTGGGTGTTTTTCTTTCTTCATCGCAATATGCGATAATATCATATCGTCCCATCCAAGGTCAACCGGAACAGCATTTAACCGAGTGACTAATGTGCACCCTTGCTTCTGTTCCTCCCCTCCCCTGTTCCGCACCCTGCACCACAGTTGCTTTCAGGATCTACGACATGGACAAGGATGGCTACATCTCCAACGGTGAACTCTTCCAGGTGCTGAAGATGATGGTAGGCAACAACCTGAAGGACACGCAGCTCCAGCAGATCGTGGACAAGACCATTATCAATGCAGACAAGGACGGAGACGGCAGGATATCCTTTGAAGAGTTCTGCGCAGTAAGTCCAAGCCCTCCTGGGGGTCCTTCCGGGGCTGTGACAGTTCTGCCGATGCAGCCGGTTACACTGAAGGCAAATGTCAAAGGGGCAAAAACTCTCGGGAAGCCCGACAGAGTTTTGCTTAGGCTGGACAGCACAGGGTTTCAGCTTCACACTTCCTGTTCAAATACAGTGTCAAGGGCTGTAAACATAGGCTGCTGAGTTCTTGTTACATGTGATCGGGCACTAAAAATACTCAGCTGTGTTATACTACAGGAGTATTGGACCAAGCAACAAATAAAAACACGATTGTACATTGAAGGCATCCAGCTGAAGCTTATCTAACAATAATTAGAGATAATAGTTATTTACTTATTACAGTGAAATGAATGTATTTATAGTGAGAAAGCAGTAGTCAGGGGTGTGTAGTGCATTATTCTTATAATCTTGGATGAGCGTGTGAAAGTTCTAATACAAGGAGAGATAAATTGGCTATAGGTTATTGTCGGCATAATAGAATCGGTATTTCACAGTGAGGAGAGGGTTAATGAATTTCTTTAAAAAGATGAGTCTTCAGTCTGCAAATGAGGAGTGACTCTGTATGCTCTTGTGGGAAGAACCTAGAAGAAATGACCGTAAACGTTTGAAAAAGCAGACCTTCGCACAGCGGTTTCAGATTCTGTCTGCCTGACGAGGATCCTGATCCACACCCGTCAGTCTTTGATAGGAAAGCCTTCATCCCTGTATAGGAAGCGTCAGAAGGTCAGATACTAGTCAGAGCGTTGTAAGATTGTGTAAGGTTGACTGCCTCCCTTGTCAGCTGTAGATCAGTAAAAAGGATGGAGAAGTGGAGTGTTACAGTGCTGTCAGAAAGCCAGGCCAGAGCAGTTTTGGGGTGAATAGCTGGTAGTCATGCTACTTTGATGTAGTTCACATTAAGACATGCCTGCTCTTGCTTGTTACTGGAAGATACATCCTCCTGGGAATATTCTGATGGGGTTATTATTTATTATTCTAGATCTGTCTCATCTGTGACTGCAATTCTGTCATACTGATGGAAAAACTGTCCTTACAATGTAGATAGAAAGTACATGGCCTTAATTATCCCATTTAAGATCAAAGAGGCAAAAAAAAAAGTCTCTTTGAACACAATTGGTGCTCCCTTGTTGAGAAGTGTTTGGACCCCAGTGGAGTCGCTTTGCTGGGAGACATTTTCTGAAATAAAAGGCACTAGTTGTGATTCTGACAGACAAAAGGCCCACATTTGATGGCCGCACCTCCGGAGCCTTGAACTAAAAAGGCTCTCGTCCTTGTGTATTTCCAGGATGGCACCGGAGGATATTAGATCCTGTTTTTTTTAACAAAGCGGCGCTGCTCCAACACTTGAAGGTTCAGGGAAGAGACTGTGTGACATGATTTCAGTCTGGCTTATTGTCATCCTCATCTGAGCACAAGAAACTGCAACAAAGAGTGTAAAAATAACACAATGGATTTAAAAATAGATTTTGTAAAAGGAAATCCAGTGCTGCTACAAGATTTAGCAACATGTTTGGGTGTTACAACTCAACTGCAGAGTAGTGCTGGAACAATTAAAGATTGTTATTGGTGTTTGGTGTTGAGATGGCTGGATGACGTGCAGATATAACCTTGGCGAAGTTGAAGAGCGAGTACGACTCAGTCTGTGTAAACTGTTGTGTACTGTCTCCTGTGGCTCTGGGCGAGCTTTCCAGAATTTGAAACAGATAACCCTGTCATTGCTTGGCTTCAGACTTAAAACTGTAGGTGTGAGGTTTGAAAGAAGTGGGCAGCATCCAGGAGGTGGAGGTCTAATGAAAGACGAATTGTGTTGCAGTATGGGAAATTGATTTTATTTTTTTGGTGCTCGACTTCCTCTGCTGCTCCAGTTTGGACCAGCCCTTGTTTAATGTGTCTCTCATGAGTCCCCCAGCTTTATAAAGGTGTAATACTAAATTGCTGGACTACCCCTTTAATAGACAATTTTGACAATTTGTATTCAGTTAAAAGTCATTTATCCAGGTGAAACTGAGCCATTGTTAATGTTATTAGTAACACCTGTGCTTTTCCTGTGACCATAAAAACGCATATAACCATCACTGCCTGTAACCGCACAGGATTAACTCATGTATTTGCTTTGGCTTCCAGGTGGTCGGCGGTCTCGATATACACAAAAAGATGGTCGTGGACGTGTGAGCGCTCCTCCGCTTGCTGACTCCCCCCCTTCCTCCTCGACACTCGCTTTCTCTACCATCTCTGAAGATCTGCTCAAGACGTCCGGCAAAACGCTCTCTGTGTAACTCAATGGAAGTATTCTCTCTCTTTCTCTGAATCTCTCTTTCTTTCTCTCTCTGTCTCTCTCTCTCTCTCTGTGAAGCCACTTTTTCTTTCAGAAACCACGGGCCTCGTGAAGCCAACTTTGAAGTGTTATTGAACTGTTAATCCTCTCAATAACCCGGTCGTAGCACTTTAAGAGACTGATGGACATCTATTTGTCATTCGCAAGAGCATCTCCGATTTTGGATGAGGGGGGAGAAAAGAGGGGAAAAGGGGGCGCAGTGAAGAGGCTGGTTGGCTTGTTCATATTTCATCCTTTCTTTTTTTTGCTAATTGTTATTTTTGATATTTATTTTTTGTTCTTGTCTTTTATAAAGAAGAAAAAATACAAGTATATCTTTGGTTGTCTCGTGAGGGGAAGTGTATAGTATTTTAACACTTGACTTACAGTACAACTAGAAAGTAGGGTATGAAGTGCCAACCAGAACATATCCAGAAACCAGTCCAAGTTATTACCTTCTTATCTTCGCCGCCGTCATCGATGCCGGACAAACCGGCTCACGACACTTCCGAGTGCACGACTGCGAGTCCCTCAGTGGGTGCAAGAGTCAATTTCAATCTAATTTTCGGACGTTTTGTTCTCCGTTTTAGCTTACGTACGAGCAGTTTGGATTAGACCAGTAAAGCTTCCAGTCACTCTTTTTTTTTTGTGGTAAGATTGCTAGTTTTATTCATACTGAAGAATGTGTTTATATTGTTGGAGATTATCCTTGTTTCCTGTCATGAAGTTATTATTAGGTAGATACATTAATGCCAAGAAAATGTCTTTCCAAAATCATTTGTGGCTGCAAACTGATTCATGGTTTACTCTTGGTGAAGCATTTTTGCGTTTAACAGTGAGCATCCATCAGACAATCTGCAATGCAAAGAATAGCTCTGCACTCACACTGACAAACGAACTGAACTCTACAGAGTTCCAAGACTTTTATTTAACGTCAAGAACAGAGGCTGGACGGACTTGGCTAAGAACTGAGTAAGTAGTTTGGGGGTGAATAATGGGATTATACACCATTTGTGCGAGTATATAGCAATTTAAGAGACTTATCTGCAGGCAGCATTTTTTTAACCAATATGTGTATATTAGGTAATCAATGTGTGCTCATCTTCTTCAACAGCAAGAGAAGGCTTTGCCTCTGCTTTACATGAGCCCTTCTGAATACTTACCATTATGAGTACTGCGCTAGACGGGTCAGAGTTTTCTTTAACGCAACACGAACACTTTAAAATCTTAACACGTTGGCATGATCAGTGTGCAGTGGGATAGACTATATTGTAGTTTTTTTTTTGAAGGTGTACATTTCAAAAGTTGGCTTCTTCTCCCACTTATTTTTTTCCTGTCACAATCACCTGAATTTCTCCTCCTCCCACCCACAAATACGAACAGGGAGAAAAACTTAAAATTTAACCAAATTTTAATTTCTATGGGAAAAATGCTTCCTACTCTAAACGACATGGGGATAGCTTTTTTGTTTTGCTTTGGAGGCCGACTGCTGGTTAGAACAGGAGTTTTCAGTCAGAGATGTGAATCTGGAGTGCTCTGTCGTTCCCTCATCCCAAAGCTCTGCACGGCTTGGGCCTCCCTGTGCTTGCATGACATGGAAATATATTTTTTTGTGCATGTAGATCAATTTTTTGAAATAATCCTCGTTTACACATGGATGGTGATGTTAATATATTTAAGAATTTAATGGTATACAATATGGATGTTGCCAAACTTTGGTAAATGTACACATATTATGAGAGGTAATCCAAATGAACTGAACTACATGTAACTTTTTGTATTTTTACCCGGGTCAGTGAGATGCTTCTATTCCAGTAAAAGTTGCATATCTGATCCCGTCTCAAACTGCCACACACTGTACTCAGCTTAAAGGGGAAATTTTGATGTTTGTTTTTTTTTTTTTTCTTTCTTTTGTATATAAGTATTTGTTAAATGCAGTTCTGGCTCTCTGTATAGTTCAGACCACGCTTTAGTTTGTAGGTGCTACTTTTTCTCTGAGGGACTTGGGTTCTTTTTAGTTTGTGTCGGGATATCTGAGAAGATTTAAGTTTGAGAACCTTTTTTTTTTTTTCCTTTTTCTGCATGCTGCATCTTATGCTGTGGGACTGTTGGAAACTTGATACTGTATGAAAATTTAAATTTAAATAAACTTTGAAATGTTGAAAGTAATGGGTTTTCTCTCACGTTTTTTAAACCTTGTTTCCCTTCAGGATGTTACTGACTGGAACCATAATCACAAACTTGATTTGTCAGGAGGCAGCAGGCAGTCATCAAGTTTTAATTATTGGTTCCTGGCCTGAAACCTGACATCCTATATATACACTTAAGTGACAAAATTAACTCATGGTTAGTGGGAATTGAAATGATTTATTTACACAAACTCTGTGCTTACAGATAATTGCATGAATCACAATTTGGCCTCACATGTTCAAACCAGGTGACTGCTTAAAACACGAGGCCATGATAGAGGAACCTGAGGTGTCAGTCCAAAAGGTTTAACTCTTCAACACAGATCAAAATGGGAATTCCACCAGCCAACGGGGGAAAAGATAAATACACACAGCAGCCAGTAAGACCTCAAAATCTCTCCGCAGTCCGGCTAGCCACCACCCTGATGTTGCCGTAGACCTTTGAAGGCGGACTTCCTGTAGAGGCAAAAATGGTTTAAAGGTCACATCTCAGCACCGCAGGTGGATTCAAATGTTCTGTTCCAAATAGGACATTAACCTCAGTTTTAACGTTATTAATCATCTTTCTTACCTAAGATTAAGTTACATATCGCCGTCCGGGCCATCTTGATATTCTGGAAAGACCCTAATATGTGAACTTTTCTGTGAAGAGACAGGTGAAGGAGGGTTGAATGCTTCAGTTAGGAGAAACAAGAAATGAGACCTTTCTCTGTGCTTTAACAACTTGTACACCAACACTTCTGCATGGGTTGAAGAGAAAAATCACTATTTTGAGTAAAAATTTCTATATCTGAATGGTAAATTTCTGCATTTAACAACAATGGAACTGTGATATGCAATATGTTAAAATGTAAAAGTGCCATAAAGTAACTAAAAAGGTAACCAATCAGTCATATTTTCACACTAATGGTGCAAGAATAGTTAAGAGTACTCACGTGTCTGCAAGCACAATGCGAGTCTTTGTGACGTTTTCAATGGTGAATTTGGTTTTTCCTCCCTTCCCTGCTATTCTTCCGATGGCTCTGGATAAGTGGTCTCCCTTCAGAGGTTTCACTACCAAGACAGACAACAATAGAAGACAATTAAATACACACAAAGAGACTGGACATACAGTTCATTTTGCAGCAGTGAAACAAAAGTGTTCAATAAACATAGCGCGTATATATCGAGTTTCAGAACAGACAGAAGTACCGTGTCAGTGTCATCTTACCGTCTGTCACATCAAAGCTTTCCAGGAAAAGCTCGTCTAATCTGATGAGAGCTAGGGCGTCCTGGTAAAGACAGAGTGCGAGTGTTACTACAACAACCGAAATCTCGAAGATCCAATGAACATTCACAAAACAAACATCACGAATCAAATATTGTGACAGCATCTGTCGATCCAAAGTAACATATGGCGACGACGGTCAAAGCTGACAAAGATTACACTTAATGGATGGAACAGAGCTGCCATTTTTGTTTGAACAATGGGCCTTTGAATTAAGGAAACCTTCCATTAGTGTACTTACTTCGACCTGGAATCCTAGAACAAACGCTCTAACGAAATCCGTTGCCTTTGTCAGTGAGCCAATGTCCTGTGTGTCTTTGCATGTCTGAAAGAAGGAAGGTATATTACACAAACTGAGTTCCAGAGAGAAACAGTGCAGGGGGACATTAATGTAAAAAGGCTCAGTCATATCAACACTGTGTATATGTGCTGGGGAAACTTACTTTAATTTCAACATTCCTCGTTTTGAGGTTGAATCTAACTTGAAGCTGTAAGTTCTCTACAATGGGGGTGAAAATCTTCAGCCAGTTCTCCTTCAGCGGGGTGTACCTGTGAGCTGGGACAGCGATCTTGCGCATCTCATCTGGTCCCTGGAACACACATAAACAACATAAACAACATAAACAACCTGTGTTCTGTTCCACTAAATTGGGATTTCTTTGAATACCAGTTAATTAGTTACTTCTTGTTACACATTTCAATAAAGCCTTCATGTAAAACACACTCCCTAAGGAGTGGGTACAAGTATGAGCAGCACAGTGTACTTAGGTATTAAAAGTAAGGCACACTTGTCATTGTGGCTGCAAACAAATAAATTAAAATAAGTTGTGGGTGGTCTCACTAATCCTTCCACTGCTGAGTAGATACTATGAATATCTCATTACTTTATCCAGTGTTTGCATTGGAAAAAAGTTTTCTGCAAAGTAGTTGACGGCAGGTATTACATAAGAGTGTCACATGACAGCTTTTCCTATAAAAAAAAAAGAAAAATACGATACTAAAGTAAAGTGCAAGAGGAACAAGCTAACTTCAGTGTGTTGCTCCCCTCCTGCGTTATTGATCCAACTTACAGTCGCTTTATTTAGTGCAATCACAACACTCTACTACGCAGGCGCAGAACAATTGCTCCCTACTTTGTGAAGAAGATACAAAAACAACAAAAAATCCCACTTTTGTTACTCTTTTAGGACAACACCGAGACAACACACGGAGCACTGACAATAGTTACCTTTAATTTGTCTCCTGAAATGGGGGGGAACTGCGGCCGCTTGCTCGCCACGGGCTCCTCTGTGTCCATGTCCACTCCATCTTGTTCACGTTTTCGTTTCTGAGTCTTTTTAGATTTGACCTTTGTGAAAGAACCTGCCTCGTCTTTACCCTCCACGGCGGCGGCAGCGGCTGGGGTTACATTAGTATCCGTGTCCATCGTGAAGAGAGTTTAAAGAGGTTTAAAGAGTCGACAGTGAGGAAACGACGGCCACCGCGGCATGAGGGTGTCCTCGTGCAACCAAAAGGACCCAAACAGCCGCGCTGTCGACGACTGTAGAGATAAAATAATGAAAACTCGTGTTATAATTCACAAAGATGCATCACTGGGTTACAAGTATTTAGTTGAAATTATAAAATGTTCGCATACAATGTTTCCGTATCTCAAGTAGTAAAACATTTACTTGAGATGAAAACGTTTTGGTCAGGCATCTCTTCAGGCAGCCACACGCTCAACCGTAGGACGTCGCTTGTTTTGGCAGCGAGCCGCTCTGAACGTTTCTCTCGCTTCTTTGACAACAACAATTATTCCGTTTCTGCATTTTATCTCCCAAACAGCAAGCATGTCATCGCCACTGTCGAAGCCTCAGATTATTGCGCACATTCAGAAGAGTTTGAACTACACGGTGTTTGACAGTAAATGGATTCCCTGCAGCGCGAAGTTTGTGTGTCTGGGTAACTTTCCTAGAGGAACCGGAGTAATGCAAATCTATGAAGTGCAGCACGGAGAGGCTCAGCTCGTCAAGGAGGTAACAGTTACATAACACCTCCACATTTTACTCCTGTGTCGCCCTTTCTCTCTCAGAAATACAGGATGCAAACGGCTTTTATTAGGGTTAGCCTCGCTAGCTTATCTAAGGTTTCTAGAAAAGTCTTGCTAGGTTCTCGTCTCCATGGCAACGGGCAACAAAAAGACAGCTAACTAACTTAACGTTGAATATATAACGTTATATATCACTAATGGTGCTAGGACTGCTGTTAATATACATTATAAAGCATTAAAGTTGTTGGCCTGCCTGCTGCACCTGCCCCTAATGAAGCACTGAGTAACAGGAGAGAGGTATTTGGAGGTTGTTAACAATTACAACAAGGGCTGGAAGAGGCAGAAAGAAGAAAGAAAGAAGACTGTTTGTATATATGTCTTAATACATGTCTGGAGAGGATCTTTATAGTGTCTTCGAGCACAGTACTGGTAACACTGTCAGTCAACATGCTCTTATGGGTGTGTAGCTTGACATCCAAGTGAATGAGAGTCAACATGAGCATTTGTTAACATGGGACAACATTTCAATTTAATAAACATTTTCCATTTCTGTCATACCTATCTATACTTACAGTGTTTAAATGTAGGGTGTTTGACACTTTGAAACATTTCCTCTGATGTGTTTCAGATAAACAAACCAAAACCCATAAAGTGCGGGACATTTGGGGCCACCTCTCTTCAACAAAGACACATAGCAACTGGGGATTTTGACGGAAATCTCAACATATGGTATTGTATCCACACCCACTGATGACACCTTCTGTGACAGAAAGATTTTAATTACATCACAAACAACTAAATTCAAAGGTGTTTTAATTCCAGAAGCTCAATTGCACAATTATTCTTTCTATTTATTATTAAAATGATGTCTGACTGAAGTGAAAATGAGTTCACACTGACCCTCTTGTCCACAGGAATCTGGAGATGCCCGAAGTGCCTGTGTACACTGTGAAGGCCCACAAAGAGATAGTGAATGGTATTGATGGTGTTGGCGGCCTGGGGATTGGTGATGGAGCACCTGAGATAGTCACTGGAAGCAGAGACGGTAAGGGCGTTACGTTAAATGTACAATTAAAACATTTTCAACGCATGGACGTAAACAAAGGCAAATACAAATACAAATTCCCTTGTGCGTTACAGGGACAGTAAAGGTGTGGGATCCCAGACAGAAGGATTCGCCTGTAGCCAACATGGAGCCCATGGAAGGAGAAACCAAGAGGGACTGCTGGACTGTTGCTTTTGGTGTGTAAAACATAGTTTGTCAACCTTTGAAAGAGCCGGGCCAGTTTCGGATACCTGCTTTCCAAGTACATCCTCATACTGTAAGCTCAGGTTGATGCATATACACAAATAATGAGTGAAGAGCGTTCTGGTTGTGCGGAGCAAAAACCATTATCCTCCCACTCTCATGCTGCGCCCTGTGCACAGAACAAAAGAATACCAGACAGGCGAAGCACAATAATCTGTGTGCACCAGTGAAAATGTAGCCCTGAAACTTAGTTTGAGTCTGCTTTCTTTGATCTTTTCCACATATATCTGGTGTTTTTCATCACTTCAGAGTTCCAAGCCAGCTATGGAAGTATTCCTTTACCATCATGAATGAGAACTGTCTTCCTTTTCCTTTGACCCTCTCATTACAGGTCATGCCTTCAATGATCAAGACCGCTGTGTGTGCGCTGGCTATGACAACGGGGACATCAAACTCTTTGATCTGCGGAATATGTCTCTCCGGTGGGAAACCAACATTAAGAATGGGGTGAGGAGAACACTTGCATTTAAAATGGTTGAACATGTGCCATGTGATTTTTGGGAAGTTGTTAAATATTTCAGGGTAATATTTTCCATGTAGCCTCTGTGGCACCACAGCAAGAAAATTACAAATATTTCTGAAGAAAATGGAAACTCAGACTGACAGTGATTCAGTGGACTCAGCTCCGAAACACAAAGAGTAGTCCTCATTTTCAGAATTGCTGTTTTTATTAGGATTTACTGCCCAAACATACATTGTTTCTTTTGCACTGCAACCTGGACTTGGATCATAACATAGACAAACACGGGGACAGAGCTGAAAACGACTTCCCAGCAAGATTTAGACTGTACATGAAACCACAGGGGAAGTCTGAGGTGAACGCATGTTCCCGTCATACGCCATATACAAAGCACGGCACTGATTTTATTACACAGTCATCACCTCATGAACGTAGAGGAACCAGCCAGGGCTCATCATGTCCATTTCAACACAAAATCCTTTTACGCTAGAGCCATGCCATGTGATACATGTCCTGGGAGTGACTGTTATTCTTTCTTACATCATGACCAGGTATGCTGTGTGGAGTTTGACAGGAAAGACATCAACATGAACAAGCTGGTGGCCACCTCACTGGAGGGAAAATTCCACGTCTTTGACATGAGGACGCAGCACCTCACCAAGGGCTTCGCCTCTGTTTCCGAAAAGGTAATTGACCTGGGTGGAGAGAGCCAGACGGATGTTTGGCTCCTGTGTATGGGAAAAATGTCAAAAGGTTATTATCGTTATTATTACTTCTACATTTGTATGGTACAGAGGGAAATGGGGGCACACGTCGTTTTGACCGTTTTCACAGCTGGAAGTGTTTGGGGTTGTGTTTGTCTAACATTCTCTGCGGCTTTGTGACACTGGCCAAAAATGACACTCGGGCCAGTGAGCAGAGAGAAGTGTGGCCTTTTGTGGGAAAATGCTCGAATAACACACTTAAATGGTTTGCGAAGTCTGAGAGATCAGAGGCCTCGGCTTTCTAAATATTTGTCCTGTTCTTCTGAGAGATCAACAGTTGGCACATCACTGTATCCAACCATGAATTAAAAGGTTCCACCAGATATTTTAAAAACAAGTAGCTTTGGATTTTCTTGTATTATTTTATATATTATTGTAATAAACATCTCAAAACTGCAGATGGAAATCTGGCTAGTGGATCCTGAAGGCACCGTTGCTGTTTTTGCTAGAATATTTAAAGTAGTATATGGTTTGATTTTTTTAGATTTGTTTATGGTCTTTTCCATTTCAGAATACGTAAAGGCAAAATAATGTTTTTTTGTGATACAGTATTGAGGGGGGTGGGGGGCAGGGGAAAGAGACCTGATAGCAAAGATCACACCGGGGATACCAATTATTCCATCAGTCATGTAACTTCAAACAGGGTTTAGAATGAAAGGCCACATTATTTGATCCTCAGCAGATTAAAGTGGTTTTCAACAGTTTTGCCAGGAATGAGTTTTACATTCGGAATTGTTTCGGGAAGCAAATGATCCCTCTTCTTTATTTCAGGCTCATAAGTCAACCATCTGGCAGGTGAGGCATTTGCCTCAAAACAGAGACATCTTTATGACTGCGGGAGGAGCAGGCAACTTACATCTATGGAAATAGTAAGTAATCCACCATGTTTTGTCCCATTTCAAGAAACACAAGTACTCATCATGATGGTTTTATAAGAATCAGATTTCCTGCTTTACCATACACTAATCTACCAAATATTTTGAACCCTATTCCAGTGAGTACCCCGCTCAGAGGAGCAAGAAGGACTCAGATGACGTGGATGTGGGCGTAGCTGGCTCTGTCAACCTCTTACAGAACGTCACTCTGTCCACTCAGCCAATCGCCAGCCTGGACTGGAGCCCCGACAAGCAAGGCCTGTGTGTGTGTTCGGGCTTTGATCAGTCTGTTCGCGTGCTCATTGTCACTAAACTCAACGTGGTGTGAAAAAGTGGAACACGACAAAGACGGATGATAAAGATCTGCGCAGCCTCATACGAAATGAGACACAACTGCAGAGACGCTGACCTATTGTGAGGCTGAATTGTGTGAAAAGACAACAGTTTCCCATTGCAGAATTTGGCGATCTAGATTTTGTACATTTGGTACTCATCTGTAGATGTATCTTGTCAGAAAATGATTTCACTCAAATGAACTGGCTTTGTTGAGGTATATTTTGTCTGTTTCTCTTAAATGATCTCCCTGAAAAATGGGCTTGGTTGAGCCCCGCAGCCAATGTTATCCTGTAGTGCAGAGAAATACCCCTGTAACATACATTTCCCGTATTATTATTATTATTATTATTAAGATTATTGGGATGCAGAAATGAGTCATATAGCCTCTGGCTTGGAATAACACTTTGGGGATCAAGATTTAATTTCTTTATCAATTTCCATTCTGTATTCATTCTTATAGGATGCTCATTGAAACTCCTGTCTTTTGTTGCACCATTGGTGAACAGTGTTGTACTCCAGTTTTGTCGATTGTTAAGGTTGTCACTTTTGATATGTCATTTTTATTAACTCTGTTTTCAAAATAAATGTGCCTTTGGAGAAAAAAAGAAGAAGAAAAAGAACAGTTTCCCTGTATCTATGAACACAGAGTTTCTCATCGGCTCAGGACAAAAGATGTGTCTTCTTGGTACACAGCAAGCACACTGACTCACTTGAGGATTTTAAAAGATAAATAAAGGGATTTGTTAGAAGGTCAAAGCATCATATCCAGCATTTGAACTTGAAGAAATCCTGAAGCTCCTGGTCGTCCTCCTGTCTGTCGTGGATCCTTGCGTAGACACTCATCAGCAGCTTGGTCATGAACTTTCCATCCAAGATGTCGATGTATTTGTCTATGCAACCTAAAAACACAGCCACAGATTAAAAAAGACTTAACTATCTATTTAATATATGAAGTTTCATTTCAAAATAACATCTGAAATATTAGTCTAACATCTCATTAGGAAGTGTATGTAATAATAATAACAACCTTCTCCTACCATCTTAAGATAATTAAATGATCCTAACCTAACTTTCCCTGTCCCTGACATCATGCTGCATGCGTCTACTCTATGTAATGTCACGCCATCTATCTGACCATGGTACGAGCTGAATGTAGTACATCTCTATAAATAGTAAGTCATGGCCTGTCACATGGGCCTTGCTGCGTGATTTCAACATTAAACACCACAATTGTTAAATATAGTCAAGATGAAGATGGTTTGCAAAAAATAGTATGTGCGGTCTGTTTTTTTTCAAAAGAATATGAGTTCCTTTTTTTCTGTGGCTAACAATCTTAATATTATCTGCAAATAATGTTGTATTTGACCAGATGTCGCACCAGTGTGCGTCCCAAATTCTTAAGAAATATATTAATCATTCTGTCTTTATTATTATTATTTTTGGGTCTTTTTTATTTTTATTTATTGGCAATTTATTTTGATAAAGCAGCTGTGTGTGAGAGTGACAGGAAGGCGGTGAGAGAGAGAAAGAGAAAGAGGGGATGACATGCAGCAAAGGGCTGCAAGTTGGAATCTAACCTGGGTGGTAGAGACTATTCTGTCTTTTATTAAAGTAAGTGTCCACTTGATTATACTTTAAAGTCACTATACTATACGTGTTAGAGAATCTGTGAAAAAAATAGACTCTTAATTATCAATTATCTTTGTTAGCTCTGATTGGTTGTTTTGTCTCCTAAAGTTTCAACAATCAAAAAAAAGAAGTTATTTTTATAAAAGTTACCTTCTGGAGCTTTAACTTTATGAAGAGTACTACTACTGCTTACAAGACTAATATTACTAAGTCTACAGTATTTAGAATAACAGTATAATAATAGTATAATATAATAACATAACAGTAATCACTTAGGCCCATGACTTTGCCGTAGGCTACAAGGCTGGGGCCCAGCTGAGGGTGGTCGTACTGCTCCAGCATCATCAGCATGCGAACAATCTCTCCGGTGATGAAGGCATCATCGAAGCTCTGCTCAGCCACAGGCTTCAGGGGGAATCTGCAGTACACCTCCACTGCAGCCTGAGGGTCTGATGGTTCCAGCAGCTGCACAAGCTCAATGTAGGCATCGTGGACCTGGACAGGAGGTTCATTCATTAACTATCTTATCTGGATTACATCAGTTGACATCAACACCAGGCATCTGTCAAGTGCTTGTAAAGCTCTATAAATAACTACTTACTTCTAAATAAAATAGAAGTAGACATTCCCTTTGAAGTGTGATTCATTCCATTTTTATGACCGCATATAACTGCATAATTACCTGATAAGAAAACTTGTCAATTGATCAACTAGTCACATTTTTTTCTGCTATATTAGCTATTTCCCACATTTTAAATCTCTTAATTTAAAGAGCTTCTTATAGCCATGAGACATAATTCAAGTTTCAATATTTTTTATCCCTGAGCTGTCAAACATACAAGGACAAACTGCTTTATCGGCTTGATCACCACATGCTATTAAGATAAGATAAGATAAGATAAGACGTACCTTTATTGATCCCTGTAGGAGAAATTCTAATAAGACACAGCAGCATAGGGGGAATGTAGTGCAATGTGGAATGTATTCTAACATTTACACAGTAGGTTTTGAAAATATTTTGGAAGACCAAACGTCGGACAGAGGAGCGTGTGATCATTACACTGGAATAAAAACCAAGAGTCAGACAGTTGGGGGTACGTTATCTTACCTTAAAGCCACTGTTAGCTGCACTGTAAAAGGACTGAGGATACACCCGAAATCTAACTGTTACCGATAACAACTGACCCTTGGTGCCATGGAGATGACCTCTTGGTAGAGCTGCTTTGCCTGGTCCTGGGTGTCTGCAGAGCGGGAGAGGGCGCGGGCCAGACCCAGCCGTGAGACATGACAGCTGGGGTTTATGGGGCTGAACGCAGTCACTGTTTCTGCCACAGCAGGCTCTGAAACAACGATTAATACACACATGAAGTATAATTACCTCCTTTAACAAACCCAGGAAAAAATGTCTCCTGCTGATGTTATTTCATGTCAGAGAGTGAAACAGTTTGCGCCGTGATGATGCAATTGGACATCACATTATCTACATTTGAACAGTTATCATTAGGATTGGGAATTTAATATATGTTTTAGGGTGAATTGTACATTGGGACATACAACAAGTAAAAATAAACAAAAAACACGTTTCAACCATTATTAGGGTCTGTTGTCTGTGTTCAAGAGTATATAAGCCCCAAAAATAAAGATTTGTTCCTATAAAGTCGTGAAAAACTACAACTAAGTATGGCTTTTTTATGGCTATGTATGTCATTCTCAATGCTTTAGTCGTGCCTTACCCTCTGCTGTCTCAACAGTAGCGGGGCAGCAGTCCTGTTTCGACTTGCTGGCTTGTAGCTGAAGTTTAGTACCGTTGCTAGCAGGTCTAGCTGATTTATCTGGTTTGGCTGCTGCTTCAGCTCTCCCCCTACAGGAGAGAAAATATAATACAAAAGCTCTTAAGTGGATACACAAGTCTGTTTATGTTGTTTAGCAATATGTTTAATTTGTGCTCATACACAAAGTATGGCATACACATCACATTTCTGTCAGTATTAAGGTCTAGGTTTTGATTTTATACACGTACAAAACAGATTTAACATATTTTAGTGTAGTCCTCAAACCTTTCAAGACCAGCAAATACTTACGTAACTCAAATAGTTAACAACTAAACAAACTAAAAACGTGTTCCAGTGAAGCTACCCAGATTGACAAATAGTAAAAGATTCTTTTTGTACTTGAATATGAAGCAGGATGGAACTGAGAAAAGTAAGCATCCACAGGAAATCATCCGTGAATAAATATGTGCCAACTAACATCCACAGACAACCACATAACAGGGCTGCCAAACGCTTGACTCAAGCTGCCAGCGTGACTCACCTGGCTGCAGGGGTTTTGGCTGGAGGCCGGACAGCTTTCCCCCCCCTGATGGGGGCTGGGGGCGCTGGAGCAGGAGCTTTGGTTACAGCGGCTGCCACCCGCCCTTGAACAGGCCCTCCCCTACCCGGCTTAGCTCCTCTCTTGGCCGCACTGGTGTCAGAAGGCCCCTTCACTCCCGCTGGCTGGGTGATGGACTGCTTGGCAGCTTTCTTGTTTTCAGCCTCCTGGCGGTCCTGCCACCACTTTTGTTCTGAGCAAACAGGGGATGATGGATGTGCTTGCAGACTTCATTTTCAAAAGACTTTCATAATTGTTTAATGTAAAGTGCTGAACAGCAGAGACACCTTTATCAACATATCACATACAGCCTGATTTGTCATGAAACCAATGGCTTGTATATCATTTTTACATGCATGTAAGATTAGACTCATCTCTACATAATTCTCTGCTGTGATTCTGAGATCAAAGACAGTAAGTACACTATATAGACTCACTTCTCAGCTGTTCAAGCGGCTCTCCGCTCTGAGTCTTGTGTTCCAGCTCAATGCTGGCCTGAAAGCTGAGGCAGGCATCAGTTATGGATTCCTTTGACCTGTTTGAATTTGGGTTGTTGTCATATTGAGCCAGCTGTGACAGACCCAGAAGACACAGGGCGTGGCTGTCCCGCGGTGTGGTCACTACTGCTAGCTGGCAGGCCTATATAGAGCAGCAGGGGGAGGTAGGCAGGGCAGAAGGTACAAGTCTGATTCCTCCATCACATCAGGACATAAGAGTCAATATATGGACTAACTATGCTTCACTGGACAGTAACCCAAAACACTGGTGAGCCAATATCACAGGTAACATGGGTTTTGTCAACTTTGCAAAACAGAAAAATAAGAGCAAACCAAAACAGATTGTTCATGTATAAAACAAATACACATTCTGTACGTCTTTTTGCCCAACTGAAGACTCTCACCCTCTCCTGCATGTCCAGCAGTTCCTGACAGGGGGCAATAGAGGTAAGACGTATGAGAGCTGTGAGAGCCTGGCATCTATTTGCAACCAGGGACTGTCTCTCCATGGCCGACTTGGCCTGGCGCTCACCCTGCTGGATCAGCCTCTGCAGCAGGGCAAATTGAGCATCCAGGAGCACCCACTCCAGCTGCCCGCTCGCCTCGCCACGACACACACACTGACTCACACTCTGGGCAGTCAGCACTGCTACGCTGAAGCATTCCAGCACAGAGACAAGCAGACACAGGGTTTTTTTATGCACTGCTTAAACACTTATCAAACTGGGTCACATTGGTGTGAATGTTGAGACGGCTAATTGGTGCTGAGATCCACCACAAACACAGAGAAAAGAGGCAATATCATCATATCGTAATATGATTACTTCTGGTTTGTGACATACGTGTGATAGACCTGTTCCGCACTCATGGCCTTCTCAGACAGGGTGTCTCTCTGCTGGAGCTGGCCCAGAGTAAGAAGGCCTCGCAGGAATTGTGTGCTGAAGCTGGACAAAGGGTCTGATGGATCCTGTTCCACCCAGCTGGAAACAAAATCATTACAGACTGGCAGCACAGAACAGCCGCGACGATCACGATAAACTTACATACGGGCAAAACTGAAAAATCCAACACATCGGTAGGAGCTCCTTGATTATAAAGCAACCAGTCAGTAATCAGTCGCCCAGTTAACTAGCTATGTTCAACTAAAATCTGCTCCCCTTGTGTTTTTAAGAAACCCAAATCTAGACCTTGAAATGTATGTTTTTTTAAATCCATATAACTGGTTAACAACGCAGATGGTCTATATGTGTATCTGTAGACTATGACAGTGTTTTTCACTACCCTCTGCAGGCTTAAACAGAACATCCTGTTACATTACCGATAACGTCCTGCCCTCACACTCTCCTGCTGAATGTATCCACCTCCACCACACATACACACGTAGACACACACACACACACTCGCAAACCTCTTGCTACAGCGCTGGCTGACAAAGTGCTCCAGTCCCTGTTGTAAGAACAGAGCAGCCTCCTTCTCTGTGTCCTCGGAGGCTTTCTGTTCCTGCTGCAGCAGAGCCAGCCCGGTAAAGAATCTGAGAAAATGATGGAAACACAAGAGAGACATTGAAGATGAAACTAGCTTTCACTCTGTAGTTTTACATATTAATCTAGACCACATTTACCCTGTTGAACTGTCTACACTACTCCTGTATGTGCCCTTTTACAACCACTGTATGATTATATATGATATCATATAAGGGTTATAGGGGAGTGGGCAATTGAAGAGCAAGCAGGTTGAGAGGTTGGTCTTTACAGTGTTAGTAACAGAAATGGATATCCATGCCTTCACCTCTTCATAATCAATTCCTGCTTTAGCAACATGTCAATACCTGAGCTCCAGTTTTTTTTTAAAAAGGTTTCCTGTAAGAATCAATTTTAAGATGAATTGCTTGTCAGGCACAGCATGGCTTTGCTTCTAATTATATTGTTCTCTTTAGGTTATATTTCAGATATTTTTTCTATCTATGAGCCAGGGCACAGTGTGAGATCGTCAGGTAAAAAACCTCTAGCAGCATGGATACATTTAATGAATTATGGTCATTATTATTACTATTACAGCTACTGACACAATCATTTATTTGCTTCTGCAACCAACCACACTTCTGTGACCTGACCTGAGTGCAGGATGAAGAGGCCGCAGTGCCAGGCCACTCTGGAGGTGCTGCAGGGCTTCCCTGCTCCTTCCCTGAAGCAGCAGTAGCCTTCCTACATGGAGGTTGTACTCCCAGCTGTCAGGACTCAGAGACCAGGCATCCAGGTACTTCGTCAGGGCCCGGTTGACACAGCTCTCTTCATCCCGCGCCACTGCACGGCTATCCTGGAACAAGAGGAAAGGAAGTTTAATTTAATCCGAAACAGCTTTATAGAGCCATAAATATGTGGCATGGCAGTTTCTTACTTTAGACAGAAAGCTACATAAAAAAACATAATGCAACTTCAATATCTGCAAACTGTTTTTTATTTTTATCTTTCATGTGTCTCTCTTGAAAAGTCAAGATAGCACTCTAACCAAAAAAAAACCCCTTTATGCCATTTACTTTTCAGGTATTCCACTGGTGCTCCTAAATAGAGCAAGTAAAGTAAACTTCAACAATATTAGAAGCAACTGTGGACACAGTCACCTTGCCAGTTTTCTTGGAGAGCCAGATGTAGAGTGTCTGGACATAGTCTGCTTTGCTGGACTGTCCCTGCTCTTTGAGCTGCTGATACTCTTTGTCCAAGGCCTGCAGCTGGTTCTGCACCGTGGGTGTACCAAGGAAACCATGGAGTCTGCACACAGCCAGGATGTCATCCTGACGTGCTGTTGATTTGGCATCGCTTAATTCATCTCTGTCTCTGTCAGCCTGGAGACAAAACAATGAAAAGGTGAGAGAGGGCTTTTGGCTGCCCGATTCACTGTTCTCAAAAACATTTTCAGCAATAATATGAGTCATTATCAACATTCAAAAATGTAGTGTTAAATGATAAACTGTCAAGATGAAGGCCCATTTACTCTGTATTTGCAAAGCAATACTATTATATTATATACTATTTGTTATAATATTTGTTAAGGTTTGTTAGACTTTTTAAAGCCCAAGACCTCCACATGTTTCACATAACAAAACAATTTTAATTACAATAATTAAGTAATTGATGTTTTTTTCGGACATTTCAGATGTGTTTGTGTTGGCAGGATATGGAAAAGAGTAGCTGGTTCAGTGTGGGAGGGAAAGCCCTTGAGCTCTTTCATCCTTGAGGGCCACCTTTAGGGGACATTCTGTACTGAGCAACTGCCAGGTGTGAATGTGTTTAACAGTGTCAGTGCTTAAAAGAATTACAAAACATATATACTTTAATAAAAGGATTTGAAGAGGCTCTTTAGTCATGCATCTTTTGCTACTAGTATGTGCAAAACGTTACAACACGTGACTGAAAGAGCTTGTTTACCTTCCTCTGGAGGCCGTACATCTCTGAAGCACAGTGTTGCTCCTCCAGAACGACGCCCAGAAGGAAATGGAGTCTGGCATCTTTGGAGCTGAGTCTGATAGCTGACGCATAGTGGACAGCAGCCTGCTCCAGGTTATGCAGAGGAGACTGGCCGTCCTCATACTGCAACATGTCACCTGTGGTATATTGTATGCACACATCAGATAACAAGACAAGAGAGTATTTGCATATATATGTGAGAGAATTTGCATCAATATTGAGCTCATATAGTCACTGTGACCTTATTCTCCTTTGTACAGACAACACCAGCTTTAGGTTTAGATTTACTTTAAATAATAAAACCCTTTACATAGTCAGTGGACCTATCATGCCTGTCATGGGTTACTTTTACCTGAAATAAGAGCCCATTTCCAGATGAGTTAACTAACTAGAGCAGGAACAGCTAGTGAAAAGGTTGTATATCAGAAACTAGTGTGATGAGGCTTATTAGACTATTCAAATGTTTGCACTGTGATCCATTGGTGCAAAGCTGCAATGCAAGCTGGGGAGGGAGGTTTGGTTCCAAAAACTACAAGCTGGAAAGCCAGAAATCTTAGCATCTGGCAACAAACTGATTACTTAGTGATTATTTTACTTTATAAACCTTTAGAAACGTATTACTGCATTAACTGTACAGAAATTGAAGAATACATATTATGTGTCTGCCACAAAAAGCCCAGAGTGATATCGAATACAAAGATTTGATTCCTATTTTTTATGTTCTATTGTTACGACTGAAAAAGGAAAGAAAATATCAGTCAGTATTTCATAATATAGGATAATGCGATCCTTTACATTTAGGTATCTACATAAGCTGTAATTGTAATTATGACTGACAATGGGTTTTACTTTAATTTCGGACTGCAGAACAAACTAACAGCGACTTCAACAATTTGGTTGTTTTTCCTGGTTTACGCTCTCATGAAAAGGTTTGTTAAGTCTCACTCTCCACCTTTGTTTGAAACAGTGTTTGTTTCATTCAAGGACAAACACAGATCGCTGTATCATGAGGAATAAAGGGATCTCTCATTTGGCCGCCTTCTCTCTTTCATTTATGAATGATTGCATGCATCCTTTGCATGAAATATTCAGAGTGTAGCTTCCCTTGGCAAGAGTGCCCTTTATCTGTCAGACAGCACTGCTGTCACAGCTTCTATAATCCAGATAATATTGCAAAAAAACCTATTCTGCAGCTGCTGCTGTATTAAAAGTCACGTTTGCCAATTATTTTTTGTAATTTCTTCAACTGATTTACTAAATTAAAGAGTCCTCTCAGCTAATGAGAAATGTGCTGTGCTATGATAGACCATATACATACACCCATCAGCCATAACATTATGACCACCTGGGCACCCTGGTGGTCATAACTTTATGCAGCCCCATATGAAATAAACTGCTCTGCACTGTGTGTTCTGACACCTTTCTATCAGAACCAGCATTAACTGTTTCAGCAGTTTGAGCTACAGTCGTCGTCTGGTTGGATTTAGAACCCACCACGGGCCAAGCTTTCTGACTCCCCATGCGTGCATCAGTGAGCCTTGGCCGCACATGACCCTGTCTCCAGTTCACTGCTTTTCCTTCCTTGGACCAATGTTGATAGGTACTGACCACTGCAGACTGGGAGCACCCCACAAGAGCTGCAGTTTTGGAGATGCTCTGACCCAGTCATCTAGCCATCACAATCTGGCCGTTGTCAAAGTCGCTTAAATCCTCACGCTGCCTCTTTTTCCTGCTTCTAACACATCAACTATGAGGACGAAATGTTCGCTTGCTGCCTAATATATCCAAGAGACATTATCATACTGAAAGTATAATAATTAATAATATTAAAACAAATGTATGCACTTCTATATAATTACAAGTCATTCATTATCTTGCAGAGATAATAACTGTAATCACCATTTGTACAACATAAACTCACATCTTGTCACACGACTTAGACCACTACATTACAGAAAAAAGATTTGTGGTAAATAAAAGATGATTGACCTCTCAGGTGGAAAAAACATTTGGGAGAAACCACCAATTTTTATACGACCATAAAGTTTCAACTTCTATAACTGTACTTCATCAGGTGGATGATTTTTGTCTGCATACCAGATGCCGTAACTGGGAGAAAAGACTACAAATGACAGCCAGGAAGAAAGACAGCGTGGATAAAATAATGTGCCTGGCCGAGGATCACCTGAAAACTCATACCCGCAACACGCCCAACACTCCTGCCCAAAACCAGCGTATGGTAGCACTTTCTTATGAGCAAAAGGATCAAATATTAAGGGGAAGACAACTAAATCTGCAAAGTCTATTGTCAACCGAGTAATCCAATTGCAACAGTGATACGAACTATTTCCTTGGCCCTGGTTTGGCACAGAGCTCAGCTTCAGCCATTAAAAAAATACATGGAAAATGGGCGTAGTTAGCCGGTCCGCCAGGCACCTCAAGTTACTGCTCACATCTTTTCTCTGCTACTCTGCTAGGTCTGAATGAAAGTCATTGGAACCGTATCAACGAAGTAACACCAGAAGGAGAGAGCAAACAGAGAGAGCGAGAGACAGAGAGAGGGAGAGAGGGAGAGAGGGAGAGTTGGTATGAGATAAGGGAGTGATCAAGGCGACAACGTTAATCGCCACATCTTGAAATATAAACAAGGTTACACTGTTGTACCAGATCATGCTGCAATCGGGGGCGATGAAAAGTGTTGTTCAGACTTGACATCCTACCTGTTGTGTCAACTGCAAAACACAAAGATCATGTGCATCACTATCTGTAGATATTATCAAGGCTGGGGAACTTTTATATATATTTTATATATATAACATTAGGTGCATACATCAATCAGCCATAAGATTATGGCACATGACAGGTGAGTGAAATAACACATCAGTGGTT